GTCTTGCTATGCAAGAACACTTAATAACTAGAAAAGTTACAATTTCTGGGGAAATTGTGTGAAGTGTTCTTGCCTCCACCTGCAGTCTACAACTGGAGTGGGCGGAGTAACTGTTATCATATACATAGCACATTTAATTGCAACGTTGTTGCACAGTTACATTAAACCATACATTTATAAAAACATTAGCAGGTGTTCAAAAGGCCCTGTCTATGACATCACTTGCTGCTGCAGCTTGACACAGGTCAGAGTATTTTGGCGGTTGCCATCTTCAAAAGGTCGTATCTTAGAAACTATAACTCCTACAGTGAAGAGCTTTACATTGTGAGAATCACAAGACCCAGACCTACATTTTGATGCATAATATGTCTCTGAAGTATTAAAATTGAAGGCACAGTCGCAGTTTAGAAATTGCACTTCAAATTTGAGCTTTGCAGAGTGAAGTTTCAATGAAAGTCAATGGACGGCGTTAGTTGCAAACAAATGATTATACGTAAAACTATCAGGACTATGGCTTGAAAGCCGTTGACATGTTTAGTGGCAGGAGGGATAGCTGAACGTTTTGATATAAGATTTGTGTAGGTGGGCCTGAAAAATAAGGGAGTGGTGGCAGTTTAGAAATCATGTCCTGATTTCTCAGCTTTTGCCAGCTCCCACTCTAGCTTTGCCATTCATTCCTATGGGACATATTTCGCCACAAGAACGACGATATTCCGTGAACCATTCGGCGAAACGTTCCACAAAGTAATAGCAATCCGATTGGGAACAATCTGCACGTTTTGGTAAATTTTTGTCTATGTAGTGTAAAAACTGTGGGAGGAGTTAGGGTGGCAAATTTGCTATAATAATAATAATAATAACTAGAAAAGCTACAATTTCTGGGGAAATTGTGTGAAGTGTTCTTGCCTCCACCAGTAGTCTAGCACATTCAATTGCAACGTTGTTGCACAGTTACATTAAACCATACATTTATAAACCATTAGCAGGTGTTCAAAAGGCCCTGTCTATGACATCACTTGCTGCTGCAGCCTTGACAGGTCAGAGTATTTTGGTGGTTGCCATCTTCAAACGGTCATATTTTAAAAACTATAAATCCTACAGCGAAGAGCTTTATATTGTGAGAATCACAAGACCCAGACCTACATTTTGATGCATAGTATGTCTCTGAAGTATTAAAATTGAAGGCACAGTTGCAGTTTAGAAATTGCACTTCAAATGTGAGCTTTGAAGAGTGAAGTTTCAATGAATGTCAATGGACGACGTTGGTTGCAAACAAATGGTCATATTGTGAAATCTATTAGGACTATGGCTTAGCCGTTGACATGTTTAGTGGCAGCAGGGATAGCTGAACGTTTTGATATAAGATTTGTGTAGGTGGGCCTGAAAATAAGGGAGTGGCGGCAGTTTAGAAATCATGTCCTGATTTTTCAGCTTTTGCCAGCTCCCACTCTAGCTTTGCCATTCATTCCTATGGGACAAATTGCGCCACAAAAACGACGATATTCCGGGAACCATTTTGGCAACGCCCACAAAGTAATAGCAACCGACCGAAAACACCCGCACGCTTAAAATTTTGGTCTATGTAGTGTAAAACTGGGTGGGAGGAGTTACAGTACCGCACACAATAAGCACAATAATAATAATATATATGTGAGATAACATTAAGTGTGGTCTTGCTATGCAAGAACACTTAGCAATAATATATATGTGAGATAACATTAAGTGGTCTTGCTATGCAAGAACACTTAATAATAATAATATATATGTGAGATAATATTAAGTGGTTCTGCTATGCAAGAACACTTAATAATAATATATATGTGAGATAACATTAAGTGGTCTTGCTATGCAAGAACACTTAATAATAATAATATATATGTGAGATAACATTAAGTGGTCTTGCTATGCAAGAACACTTAATAACTAGAAAAGCTACAATTTCTGGGGAAATTGTGAAGTGTTCTTGCCTCCACCAGTAGTCTACAACTGGAGTGGGCGGAGTAACTGTTATCATTTATATAGCACATTTAATTGCAACGTTGTTGCACAGTTACATTAAACCATACATTTATAAAAACATTAGCAGGTGTTCAAAAAGCCCTGTCTATGACATCACTTGCTGCTGCAGCCTGGCACAGGTCAGGCAGAAAGAGGCCAAGCAAGTTATAAGAGCTTCCAAATCACACAAAGAAGAGAAAATAGCACAGTCAGTAAAAAAGGGAGACAAAACATTTTTTAGATACATAAATGAGAAAAGAAAAGTAAAACAAGGATTAGTTAGATTAAAAACATAAGAAGGAAGGTATGTAGAAGAGGATAAAGGTCTAGCTGACTGCCTCAATGAATATTTTTGTTCTGTATTTACAGATGAAAATGAAGAAAAGGGACCTCAGTTGAGAAAAAGGATAAATGAGTCATTTATTACACGTGAGTTTACAGAGGAAGAGGTTCTATTTCAACTGTCAAAAGTAAAGACAAATAAGTCAATGGGACTTGATGGAATACTAACCCAAAAGCTATTAAAAGAGCTTAGTGGTGTACTAGCAAAACCACTAACAGATTTATTTAACCAATCATTGTTAACAGGAGTAGTCCCAGAAGATTGGAAGTTAGCTAATGTTGTGCCCATTCACAAGAAAGGTAGTAGGGAGGAGTCAGGCAACTATAGGCCAGTAAGCCTTACTTCAGTAGTGGGGAAAGTGATGGAAACCATGTTAAAGGATAGGATTGATGAGCATCTAAAAACACATGGATTTCAAGATCAGAGACAACATGGATTTACTTCAGGGAGATCATGCCAAACTAATCTTATTGATTTTTTTGATTGGGTAAATAAAATTATAGATCAGGGTGGTGCAGTAGACATTGCTTACCTAGATTTCAGTAAGGCTTTTGACACTGTTGCACATAGAAGGCTTAATAACAAACTGCAATCTTTTAAGTTTGGATTCAAATATTGTTGAATGGGTAAGGCAGTGGCTGAGTAACAGGCAACAGAGGGTTAGAAGCTAATGGAATATATTCAAAGCTTGACTTGTCACCAGTGGGGTACCTCAGGGATCTGTACTTGGACCCATTCTCTTTAATATTTTTATTAGTGATATTGCAGAAGGTCTTGATGGTAAGGTATGTCTTTTTGCTGATGATACTAAGATATGTACCAGGGTTGATGTTCCAGGAGGGATAAGCCAAATGACAAATGATTTAGGTAAACTAGAAAAATGGTCAGAATTGTGGCAACTGACATTTAATGTGGATAAGTGCAAGATAATGCATCTTGGACGTAAAAACCCAAGGGCAGAGTACAGAATATTTGATAGAGTCCTAACCTCAACAATTGAGGAAAGGGATTTAGGGGTGATTACAGGCAGATTAAAGGCAGGCAGACAATGTAATAGAGCAGCAGGAAATGCTAGCAGAATGCTTATTGTATAGGAGAGGTATTAGCAGTAGAAAGAGGGAAGTGCTCATGCCATTATACAGAACACTGGTGAGACCTCACTTGGAGTATTGTACACAGTATTGAGACCGTGATCTTCAGAAGGATATTGATACCTTAGGAGAGGGTTCAGAGAAGGGCTACTAAACTGGTTCATGGTGATTGCGGATAAAAACTTACCAGGAAAGGTTAAAGGGATCTTTAACATGTATAGCTTTGGAGGAAAGATCTAGACAGGGGGATATGATAGAAACATTTAAATATATAAAGGAATCAACACAGCAAAGGAGGAGACTATATTTAAAAGAAGAAAAACTACCAACAAGAGGACATAGTCTTAAATTAGAGGGACAAAGGTTTAAAAATAATATCAGGAAGTATTACTTTACTGAGAGGGTAGTGGATGCATGGAATAGCCTTCCAGCTGAAGTGGTAGAGGTTAACACAGTAAAGGAGTTTAAGCATGCATGGGATAGGCATAAGGCTATCCTAACTATAAGATAAGGCTAGGGACTAATGAAAGTTTTAGAAAATTGGGCAGACTAGATGGGCCGAATGGTTCTTATCTGCCGTCACATTCTATGTTTCTATGTTTCTATGTCAGAGTATTTTGGCGGTTGCCATCTTGAAACGGTCGTATTTTAAAAACTATAACTCCTACAGTGAAGAGCTTTATATTGTGAGAATCACAAGACCCAGACCTACATTTTGATGCATAGTATGTCTCTGAAGTATTAAAATTGAAGGCACAGTCGCAGTTTGGAAATTGCACTTCAAATTTGAGCTTTGCAGAGTGAAGTTTAAATGAAAGTCAATGGACGGCGTTAGTTGCAAACAAATGATTATATTGTGAAAACTATCAGGACTATGGCTTAGCCGTTGACTTGTTTAGTGGCAGCAGGGATAGCTGAACGTTTCGATATAAGATTTGTGTAGGTGGGCCTGAAAATAAGGGAGTGGTGGTAGTTTAGAAATCATGTCCTGATCTTTCAGCTTTTGCCAGCTCCCACTCTAACTTTGCTATTCATTCCTATGGGACAAATTGCGCCACAAGAACGACGATATTCCGTGAACCATTCGGCGAAACATTCCACAAAGTAATAGCAATCCGATCGGGAACAATCTGCACGTTTTGGTAAATTTTTGTCTATGTAGTGTAAAAACTGTGGGAGGAGTTAGAGTGGCAAATTTGGCTATAATAAGAATAATAATATATATGTGAGATAACAATAAGTGGTCTTGCTATGCAAGAACACTTAATAACTAGAAAAGCTACAATTTCTGGGGAAATTGTGTGATGTGTTCTTGCCTCCACCAGTAGTCTACAACTGGAGTGGGCGGAGTAACTTATCATTTATATAGCACATTTAATTGTAACGTTGTTGCACAGTTACATTAAACCATACATTTATAAAAACATTAGCAGGTGTTCAAAAGGCCCTGTCTATGACATCACTTGCTGCTGCAGCTTGACACAGGTCAGAGTAGTTTGGTGGTTGCCATCTTCAAACGGTCGTATCTTAAAAACTATAACTCCTACAGTGAAGAGCTTTATATTGTGAGAATCACAAGACCCAGACCTACATTTTGATGCATAGTATGTCTCTGAAGTATTAAAATTGAAGGCACAGTCGCGGTTTAGAAATTGCACTTCAAATTTGAGCTTTGCAGAGTGAAGTTTCAATGAAAGTCAATGGACGGCGTTAGTTGCAAACAAATGATTATATCGTAAAAACTATCAGGACTACAGCTTAGACGTTGACATGTTTAGTGGCAGCAGGGATAGCTGAACGTTTTGATATAAGATTTGTGTAGGTGGGCCTGGAAAAATAAGTGGGGAGTGGTGGCAGTTTAGAAATCATGTCCCGATTTTTCAGCTTTGCCAGCTCCCACCTATAGCTTCTTGCCATTCATTCCTATGGGACAAATTTCGCCACAAGAACGACGAGAGCCCGCGTGTGAACCATTCGCCAAACGCTCCACAAAGTAATAGCAACTGACGTGGAACAATCTGCACGCTTTGGTAAATTTTGTCTATGTAGTGTAAAACTGTGGGAGGAGTTAGGTGGCAATTCTTGCTATAATAATAATAATAATATATATGAACAGGGTGGTCTTGTTATGCAAGCATCTAATATATATGTGAGATAACAATAAGTGGTCTTGCTATGCAAGAACACTTAATAATATATATGTGAGATAACAATAAGTGGTCTTGCTATGCAAGAACACTTAATAATAATATATATGTGAGATAACATTAAGTGGTCTTGCTATGCAAGAACACTTAATAATATATATGTGAGATAACAATAAGTGGTCTTGCTATGCAAAAACACTTAATAACAGGACAGATACAGCAACGTTTCAATCCCTACATCAATCTGATAAAGCTTGATAAAGATCCCTGAAGGGATCGAAACGTTCTGGAGTGGCCATCACAGTCTCCTGACCTTAATATCATTGAGACACTCTGGGAGGATCTCAAACGTGCGGTTCATACAAGACGACCAAAAACTTTGCATGACCTGGAGGCATTTTTCCAAGACGATTGGGCAGCTATACCAGCTGCAAAAATTATGGGCCTCATAGACAATTCTTACAAAAGACTGCACGGTGTCATTGATGCTAAAGGGGGCAAAACACAGTATTAAGAACTGAGGGTATGCAGACTTTTGAACAGGGGTCATTTCAGTTTTTTCTTTGTTGCCATGTTTTGTTTTATGATTTGTTTTATGACTGTTATAACCTACAGTTCAATATGAATCCCATAGGAAATAAAATAAACGTGTTTTGTCTGCTCACTCGTGTTTTCTATAAAAATGATACATATATTACCAATTCTCCAAAGGTATGCACACTTTTGAGCACAACAGTATGTGAATTTTCTTCTATTACATATACCCCCATTACCACCAAGGAAACAAACCCCCAAGGAAGGGAAGTGGTCCCCTATAAAGGAATTCATGGCTTTAACAAGTGAGCCATATCCCAAGCTCTTCGTTTGTGAGTTTACATTCTTACTGATTTAAAAAGTCTCTTTCTGTTTCAAAGGTTTAGAAAGTTATCTGCACTGTTTTTTTTGTGGTTTTTTTTACATTTTGTCTCTGAGGTTTTTACCAACACTAAAAAGAGTGATCTGAATAACATTTAAAGGTATAAAGTGTTTTAATAAGACACAACCTCTTATTTGGTGCCATAAGCACTATGAACAGCAAAAGATTACAAAATACTGTTTAAAGGGATACTATAGTCTCCAGAACAACTACAGCTTAATGTAGTTGTTCTGGTGAGTATAATCATAATATGCAGGCATTTTCATGTTTTTCATGTTTACATTGCCCCTAGGGACACCTCCAAGTGGCCACTGGAGGGTCTTCGTGGCTCAGGCCCTGCCCCCTTGCCAATTTTACCCAATCCAATGCTTTCCCCATGGAAGAGCATTTGATTGGCTAAAAATCAGCAATTCTGATGATGTTACCAAGGGGGCGGGGGCTGGGTCAGTGCCGGCAGACCCTCATGGCGCTGGAAATAAGGTGAGTTTTTTATGCTTTTAAGGGGGGAGAGGGGGTAAGCCACCTTAATGGTGGGTTTAGCACTATAGGGTCAGGAATACATGTTATAAATTGATAATTCAAATGCACATTGATTGAAAACACTTTATAAGTACATTTGCATAGATTTGCATGAATAAGGAAGAATGATACCCTTGGCCGTGGAGGCCATCAATGGTAGACCACTATTCACTCCTAAGAAATTACACATTAATTGTTACCACTATGTCTTTCTGTAGATACCCTCCATGAAGAGAATCATGCATTGCAAATCATCATATCACCCTTAAGTCCTGTTGTGCTGGGTTATCCATGGCTCAGAAAACACAGCCCTGATATCGACTGGGTTCAAAGAGAGAATACAGCCTGGGGTTCTGAATGACAGTCGACTTGCCTAGCTTCCATTAGACCTGTACTGTCTACCCCTACAGCTCCTCCCTTGTCTACTGATATTCTGCACAATATCTTACAGAGGTCTTTGACAAGAAAGGAGCAACTACTCCCACAAGGAACCACGTAGGATTGTGCCATTGATTTATTGCTTGGGACCATGCACCTGTCAGGATTTCTAGTTGATCCAGCATGCAGAACTGTATAAAAATAGGTAATATGGGGGGCTTAGGGGCATTTGGGGATGACTTGGGGGATTTAGATGTAGTAGAGTCGGGAGTTAAAAAAAATAAAAAATAAAAAAATACAGATGCGGCCATGACAGTGCCACTTTAACTTTTAATTATTAATTTGAATATCTAAAAACATATAATGTAAAACTCCAGTCATCCAGAGGAAAAAATGTTGCAAAAGGCAACAAAGTCATCAAAAAAAGACTGTAACTAGAAATAAAGTATGTACAGTAATACAGAAGAGGTAGTAAATCACTCCTATAAATAAAAGCATGCATCCTAAATAACAGGTGTGAAACATGGGATGATGGTGATTTGCATTGTGCCTTACATATGATATAAAACCAAATAAAAAGTGAGGAGGTAAAAAGCACAAAAATTTAAAGTCAATTTCAATGTCAAATGTCAAGAGAACAAACGGTAATCAAGTACCTTGAACCTTCATATGAATGTCAGAGCGAATGCAAACTTCAGTAAACCACACATGAACATGAAGCATTGTTAAAAGAAAACAGGGAATTCGAGACAGAAAGTATAATGACTCTAGATCCCAGAGTGTGAGTAGGATGGGGTTGGTAGGGAGGATATTTGGAGTCATGTATGAGTAAGTTGACTTTTCCTTTTTTAAAGCTCTATGAAATCTATATTCTAAAAGATCATTACACATTAACTTACAGTTTGTATGTCGAAAAATAATTTACCTTTTGTGGAGATGTGCCAGCAGAGTGTGATGTCTGAGGATGAAGTACGGGCGAACAATTGAGCTCTGTACTGATGGAAGGTGGCTCTTGATATGGGTCTAAATGATCCAAAGATACCACATCCGAGTCTGGTGTTTGAGAAACTTAAAGTACAAGACAACTGATTCAAGACCAACTCAAAATAATTATGAAACAATATTTAAAGAGTGTATTTGAAATTGTATACACTACTAGCATTACATTTTATCTACCGTATATACTCAAGTATAAGCAGAGTTTTTCGGCACATTTTTACTAGAGTCAGTGTCTGTATTATGGCAACTTACATTGCCATAATACAAACCAGGACCGCCGGGCTCATTACAAGCCCGGTGGTCCTGTTGGGGGCCGGAGCAAGCGGTTATTTACCTTTACAGCAGCTCCGGTCAGCTCCCCAGTGTAAGTCTCGCGATACCCGCGGCCATCAGAGCATTGCCACGGGTTACCGTGGCAACGCTCCGCATGGCACACAGACAGCGAGACTTACACTGGGAGCTGAACGGGGGAGCTGCACGGAGCTGCTGTAAAGGTAACAGCTTGCTCCGCCCCCCCGCATAGTACACACCACTGTACCACCATGGATTTACATAGCCCCCTCCCTGGCCAGGCAACAAGCAGGGAGGGGGGGGGACATAAAAATAACATTAAATATTTAAAAACTAAAATAAAACAAATATTAAAATAATAAATAATGCCCTCTCCCAACCCAGTTTATGTATATCACACACTACACAAACATACACACACACACTGCATTCATACAAACACACTGCATTCAAACACACTGCATTATATATATATATATATATATATATATATATATATATATATACACACACACACACACACTGCATTTCATACAAACACACTCTGCATTCATTATATACACACATTGCATTCATACAAACACTGCATTTACACAAACACACACATTCTGAATTCATTATATACACACTGCATTCATTATATACACACACTGCATTATATATACACACACACTGCATTCACACAAACACACACACACACACACACTGCATTCATTATGTACACACAATGTAAATAAATATTCAATTAATGTAATTGTATTGTGATCTAATTTTATTTAGAAAGTTACCAGTAGCTGCTGCATTTCCCACCCAAGCGTTATACTCGAGTCAATAAGTTTTACCAGTTTTCTGTGGTAAAATTAGGGGCCTTGGCTTATATTCGGGTCGACTTATACTCAAGTATATATGGTATATATCGCACTAATAGAAATGCTGGCAAATGTGTAGATTTTAATTTAATATTCTTTAAAAGTATGATCCGACTCCCGCCCTTCCCTCTGTTAGTACCATACAGGTCTATGTAAAGGACTGAAAGTAAGGTATAGCAGGAGAGACCACCTACATGCTCTGTCGCACCGCTATTTCCCCACCAAGCATTTCTTACAAGAACACTCTTAGCATTTTGGTGTTAAAAAAAATTATCGCAGCAGAGGAGAGGCAACATGGGGTGGGTGGTGGAAAATTGTAACATCCTGTAAGAATCGTTCCACTGGTGCTAGGGAGCAGCAGGTAATTAAGTGAATAGCTCTCAGAGCCAATAAATATATAATTTGTAATTACAGGTTCACTTTATCTTTCCCTCCTGGTCTTATAAAATATGCTCGTATTTAATTATAATATAGCACCACAGAGAAAATACTTGTAAGATTTTTTTATTTTTTTTGGCGTGCAAGAAAGTACATCACAACATTTACCGCCACAACAACGAATACATCAACATAACTGCATGTATAGTGGAACCGTGTTATGGCATTCAGTGAAACTGAACTATACTCGTAATATTTAAAAGAACAAATACAAATAAAGTGACTAAACAAACATGCATCGTAACAAAAAGTTTTATTTTTACACAGATTAAAGTAAAATCAAAGCATTTAAATTAGAGGAGAAGATATTGATATTGAATGTCAATATAAGTTATATATATATTTTGGTTAAAGTAAATCAATCGTTTCAAAAATCAAAAACAATCAAAAGAATCATAAAAACAAAAAAGGGATTATTTTCTCTTATGGTCAAGTCTCAGGCTGACAAAATTTTAGAAAAGCAGATCTTCGTTTGTAAACCTTTGTCAATTCTCAGCAGGCAAGAGTACAACAGTACAGGAAACGGAATCAAATGTAGAAATGGTTGTGACAGACCCTCTGTCAATTATTTTTATACTTTAGAAACTCTATTTGTGCCTATTGTATTTTGTAACACTGTTTCTGCCCCTTTAAAGTTCTGCACTTTTGAAGTGGCACTTCGGATGCAGCCCAAGTGCCAAAGTAGTCGAAGTGGCCACGGCCATTTGAATTCAGTCGAACATGTTAATCGGTGTTTGGTCGTCGAGTTCATGGAACTCAAATCGGATACGCGACCGCACGAACACCACTGAACTTTACCTTCTCCAGACTTTGACGCTTCGACTGGTCACCCAACTCCTCAATGCAGCAATGGAGGACGCGAAAGAGAAAAGGGCCTATAACCTACAGGTATTGACTGCACAAAGACCTGAAAGTCCAGCGGTACTATCGATTGTGAACCACAGCGAATGGAAAAAGGTGCTGTTTGCAGCGTTTAAAGCTTTCCAAGACACAGATGGGGAAGTCGACGGAAAAGAGGAGGTTTGTATTCCGAGTGGGCCTGCACCCTACACCAAACTGCCTCACACTGGGTGGAGGGTTGCCAACCAGGGAAGAGGTTCTGCAGCTGTTTCTACTAGAACATTTCCTAGGAGCATTACAACTGGGCATAAAAGAGTGGGTGCAGGATAGGTGACCACTCACCCTGCAGGACGCGGCTCACTTGGCTGACGAATATACTGAATCCAGGCACCAAGAACTGACTGCTGTCAGTCCTTGTCCCAAGCCAGCCATTGTGAAACCCCCACCTACTACAGAGTTCTGTGCTCCAGTCCCTCCAGCTCCTGCTCGCTATTCCGGACCTCCCTGGTACCAGCAGAACCACTCCAGAGTCAAGTGCCATGGCTGCCATCAACTGGGACACATGCACAGCCAGATCCAACTGGGGGTGATCACCATCTCGGCCCCAACCTACCTCAGCCGCCCACTGCTTGGAGGCTGAGCCAGAGTCCGAGGAATACCTAGGGGTCTTGTATGAGGCCGACCCCATCCAAGCCGCCGCTCAAGACAATAGGCAACACCACTGCCAAGAGGTCCTAGTCAACGGGCAACCAGCCCAAGGCTTACGAGACACAGGGGCCACATTGACCCTGTTACAGCGACACTTGATCCGTAACGATGACCGCACCAAAAAAACTGTCGCCGTCCGAGTAGCAGGGGGAGAAGTCTATCAGATTCCCACTGCCCGCGTTCATCTGAACTGGGGAGCCGGATCCGGCAAGGTGCATGTGGGAATCATGGACAATCTCCCAGCCGAAGTACTGTTGGGCAAAGACCTGGGGCCCCTCACATACGCCTATGCTCCTACCGCAGCCGCTCATCCCGTCACCACCCGTGCCCAATCTCGCACCGCTGAGTACAACCCACCAGTCGGGGAGACCCAGGTAAGCATACAGACAAAAACCCTTGCCATGACGACCTTAGCCTGGGATACCCCAGAGGAGTTTGTCAGGGAAACTAGGGCCAACCCCTCCCTCCATAAGTATCGTCTTAGGGCAAAAACCGGTCAGACAGGGTTAGAAGGGGAAAGATATATTTGGAAGCAGGACAAATTATACCAGGTGTCTGAAACCCGTTGCCCTGGAGCCACCCCCTCGCAGAAGCTCCAATTGGTAGTTCCAAGGAAATACCGACGGGAGCTTCTCCGAATTGGGCACTTGGGAATGACTCGCACATCCCATCGAGTAACCCAGCACAAATGTGCAACACTATTGCCGGACCTGCAATGTTTGTCAGAGGGTAGGGAAGAGGGGGGATCACCCCAAAGTGAAACTGCTATCAATGCCATCATAGAAGAGCCTTTCAGCCGGATCGCAGTCGACCTAGCTTGGAGGAAAGCTTGGAAAGCTCCTAGCTTGGAGGAAAGACGAGACGGGGGGATATGATAGAAACATTTAAATATATAAAGGGAATCAACACAGTAAAGGAGGAGACTATATTTAAAAGAAGAAAAACTACCACAACAAGAGGACATAGTCTTAAATTAGAGGGACAAAGGTTTAAAAATAATATCAGGAAGTATTACTTTACTGAGAGGGTAGTGGATGCATGGAATAGCCTTCCAGCTGAAGTGGTAGAGGTTAACACAGTAAAGTAGTTTAAGCATGAGTGGGATAGGCATAAGGCTATCCTAACTATAAGATAAGACTAGGGAGTAATGACATTTAGAAAAACATTCTATGTTTCTATGACCTGGTGGGGCCCCTCAAAAGATCTAGTCCATCCGGTAAACGGTTCATCCTTACCGTGGTGGACTATGCCACCCGCTACCCCAAAGCCGTTGCTCTGCCCAATATTCAGGCAGACACCGTGGCCAATGCAGTAGTTGGGATATTCACCCGAGTGGAGTTCCCTAAAGAAATTCTCTCAGACCAAGGGGCCCAGTTCAGCACAGAACTTACACACCAGTTGTGGGAAGTTTGCCAGATTAAGTCTCTACTTAGTTCCCTGTACCACCCCCAGGCAAACGGCCTCTGTGAACGTTTCAACGGCACCCTCAAGCAGATGTTGAATATGTTCACAGACGAATACCGAGACTGGGAGCAATTCCTACCTCACCTCATGTTTGCATACAGAGAGGTACCACAAGAATCCACTGTTTTTTCTCCCTTCGAGCTATTATATAGGAGAAGGGTGCGAGGCCCCCTGGATCTCATTAGGCAGCACTGGGAGGGGGCCACAGAACAGGAGGAACCCCCATCGTGTCATATGTAGTAAAGCTTCGGGACCGCATGGAGCAGCTGGCACAGATGGTTAGAGAGAACCTCCAGGCGGCCCAGGGGCGACAGAAGGTATGGTACGATTGGGGTGCCCATCAATGTACGTTTCAGGTAGGGCAGAAGGTCCTAGTATTAAAACCCACCAAACAAGATAAACTGCAGGAAGCCTGGCAGGGCCCTTACCAGGTGGTAGACCAACTTTGCAATATCACATATGTAATCGCCAGTGACAGAAATGAGAGGGCTCGTAAAGCCTTCCATGTCGACATGCTCAAAGAGTACCAGGAAAGGCCCGAAGACATAGCTGCTGTATGCGCCCCAGCCACTGAAGACCCAGAAAGCTTACCTTTGCCCGATCTCTTGAGAAAGCAGCCCCAGACCGACCCCCTCAATCAAATAAAGTTAGGAGACAAGCTAACACCTGCAGAGAGGGAGCAAGTCAATCACCTAATCGCTAGGAAGAGCCAAACGTTCTCCCAAGAACCTGGTTTCACCACGTTAGCCACCTATCGAGTAGAAACCCCCGGCCAGGCCCCGCTTAGACAGCCCCCCTACCGGATCCCTGACGCCGTCAGAGCTGGTATGACGGAAGAGATACATGAGATGTTAAGACTAGGGGTCACTGAACACACCGATAGTCCCTGGGTGTCCCCAATGGTCCTGGTACCAAAGAAAGATGGGACCACCCGGTTTTGCGTGGGCTATCGGCGACTAAATGATAAAACAGTGACCGATGCCTACCCAATGCCCAGAGTGGATGAGTTGTTAGATCGCATTGCCAGGGGGCTGGCAGATTCCCCTGGCCTAGGAGGCTATCCCCAAGTCAGCCTTTGTCACCCTGTTTGACTTGTACCAATTCAGAGTCATGCCAATCGGTATGAAAAATGCCCTAGCTACATTCCAATGCTTGGTGGATAGACTCCTCGATGGCTTCCCGGATTTCGCCTGTGCGTACCTGGATGACATTGCGATCTATAGCAAGTCCTGGGAGGAACATTTAAGGCACGTAGTACTGTTTGCAGCGAGTGGGGTCTGGGCAGTCGCTAACTGGTCCACACCCCGGACCAAGACCCAAGTCCTGGCCTTCCTAGGGACAGCCGGGTATTATAGGCGGTTTGTGCCGGACTACAGAGCCCTAGCTAAGCCTTTGTCTGACCTCACGAAAAAGAACTTACCCTGACAAGTCCTGTGATCTCCCGCCTGTGAAACTGCCTTTCAAGCGTTAAAAGATGCCCTTTTACATGCCCCTGTTTTGGCTGCCCCAGTCTCTAACAAACATTTTATCGTTCACACAGACGCTTCCATGTTCGGACTGGGGGCAGTCCTAAGCCAAGTTGGAGAGGATGGAGGAGAGCACCCTGTCGTCTATATCAGCTGCAAATTATTGCCCCGGGAAGAGAGCTGTGCGGCAGTCGAAAAAGAGTGCTTGGCTTTAGTGTGGGTCCTGAAGAAGCTCACCCCATATTTATACGGGCGAGAATTTACGCTAATAACAGACCACAATTCATTGGTCTGGTTGAACCAGGTTGCAGGAGACAATGGACGATTACTGAGATGGAGCTTAGCGCTGCAGCCCTTTAATTTCAACATCCAGTACCGGCCCGGGAAACTAAACGGCAACGCTGATGGGTTGTCCTGCCAGTCCAAACTCAGCACATAACCCAACGTCCAGGCATCCTCCAGTTGACCCGAAAAGGATCAAACCGGGTCTGCTGGAGTGTCCCACAAGGAGGGAGCAATGGGACAGACCCTCTGTCCTTGAGTTTTATAATTTAAAAACTCTATTTGTGCCTATTGTATTTTGGAGCACTGTTTCTGCCCCTTTAAAGTTCTGCACTTTTGAAGTGGCACTTCGGATGCAGCCAAAGTGCTGAAGTAGTCAAAGTGGCCACCATTCAACATACGAACACGTGGCGGCCATTTTAATTCAGCCGAATGCGTTCAGCTGTGTTTGGTCGTCGAGTTCATGGAACTCAAATTGGATAAGCGACAGCACGAACACCACTGAACTTTACCTTCTCCAGACTTCGACTGGAGTCGAACGCCGTTAGACAATTCGAATGGTACTTTAACACTGACGGTTTTCACGAACGGTTGCTGTTCGTCTATTTCAACTAACTTTAACATGGGAAATAGACCGGCTGCACAGCCAAATTCTCTGGAACTGTTTTGGGCATGAAAAAGTGCGTGCGTGCGTGCGATCGGTCAAATGTGACTTCCATCTAACTCCCGAACCCCTGAACCGTTTCGCATGATTTTTTTTATATGTTTTTCCCATAATTATGCCCGTTCAGAAAATATAAGTTTTGTAAGAATTGGATGTTTACTTTTAATGTTACAAGAAATGTGTAAAAAGTATTTTTTTCGCTTGGAGATAATAGAGTTCATACTGTAATTAACTCAATTATCTCCCATACAGAGGGGAGGAATTTACAGTAATGAATGGGAGTGTTTAATTTTGTGACTGAATATTATTGGCTGTTAAATGTACATTTTGGTGCCCAACAACGTCCACATGGGCGGTAACCTTGTGGGGAAATACTGTATAAAAGAAGCAGCTGTATCATTAAACCTTCAGTACATACTTTACCCTCAGTCTAGAGACTTGTCTCTTATTGGGGGAAACTGCTATATAGCTATAACACTAGCTCTTTTAAGAGCTCCTCAACTTGGATGACTGCTGAATGCTGAGAATACCCCTCACCATTGGGAGAAGGACACCCTCTAGTGGTGGAAACCCCTCTACTCATCGGGGTAACCGCTACAATGGTGACATAGTTTCAAGTAACTTTATGATCTATTAGATTTTTCCACAGCCAACCACATGCCAGGCGGGAATGTTACCACTGCTGGACTTTGCAAAATTTGCAATACAAAAAAAAGCGACATAGCTGCTTTAAGGTATATGCTAGTTTATTCATCATCTGGATGTCTACATGCTTTGTTTGTGACAGCCATTACTAAATACTGTATATACTCAAGTATAAGCCGACCCGAATATAAGCCGAGGCCCCTAATTTTACCACAAAAAACTGGGAAAACTTATTGACTCGAGTATAAGCCTAGGGTGGGAAATGCAGCAGCTACTGGTAACTTTCTAAATAAAATTAGATTCCAATAAAATTACATGAATTTAATATTTATTTACAGTGTGTGTATAGAATGAATGCAGAGTGTGTGTTTGTGTGTGTATATATAATGAATGCAGTGTGTGGTTGTGTGTTGTGTGTGTGTGTATATAATGAATGCAGTGTATATAATGCAGTGTGTGTGTTTGTGCAGTGTGTGTAAACTGGGTGAGGGGAGGGCATTTTTATTTTAATATTATATTATTTTAATAATATTATTTTAGTATTATATTATTATTATTTTAACATTATATTATTTTAATAATATTTTTATTATTTTAATATTTGCATTATTTTTTTTTTAATGGTTTTTTGTCCCCTCTCCCTGCTTGTTGCCTGGTCAGGGAGGGGGGGACAAAAAAAAAACATTTAAAAAAAAATAATGCAAATATTAAAATAATAATAATATAATAATAAAATAATATTATTAAAATAATATAATATTAAAATAATAATATTATTTTATTATTATATTATTTTATTATTATATTATTATAATTTTAATATTTGCATTATTTTTTTTTAAATGTTTTTTTGTCCCCCCTCCCTGACCAGGCAACAAGCAGGGAGTGAGGACAAAAAAACATTTAAAAAAAAATAATGCAAATATTAAAATAATAATATAATAATAAAATAATATTATTTTAATATTATATTATTTTAATAATATGAAATCCCTGGTGCTGACAGGAGCTGCAGGAAGGTAAGTAACAGCTCACTGTCAGCCCCCAACAGGACCGCCGGGTCCTGGTCTGTATTGTGGCAATGTAAGTTGCCATAATACAGACTGACTCGAGTATAAGCACGAGTTGGGGTTTTTCAGATACGGTAATATGTAAAAAAAAAATAAAAAAAAAAATTATAATTAATAATACCTTACCTGTTTTATCATACACTCCTTTCATTTTATCTCGGAACGGTTTGTCATACGTTGAAAGCTGGAGAGCTAAAAAAAAAAAAAAAAATTGAGATTTTTAATACATAAATAACAAAGGCATGGTGTCGCGACAGGGAAGGTTTTGATATATTATAATTTATTATTTAAATAAAATTGTCACTTTTCGAGAATTTACATACGAACATTGAAAATCAACTATAACTTGTGTTAACTTTTTTCATGAAATGCTCAGTTTTCTTTTCAATTTATTTAATCGATCCAGCAAACTGCAGCATATTCCAAACTGAAGCATATTCAAATTCTGACAAGCAAAACCAGGACAACAATGGAAAATAAGGAAAAATAGAAAAAAAAAATTTCTCTCCACAGTCTATATGCTGATTGTCATACTGAAGTATAAGTGACAGTTTATAACAGTGATTGATAAGGAGCTAAGATGGAGGCACCCATTTGCAGGATAAAGAGATGTGGATTTTTACATTAAAAGGACCCTATAGTTACCAATGCAACTTTAGCTTAGTGAAGCAGCGTTTGTGTACAATCCATGGCTCTTGTTAAACATTATTGACACCTTGTAACGATGCTGCCAGCAGTGTTCTAAATGTTCATCTGGGTGGCCGCCGTTCGTATGTTAAAAAAACGTGGTGGCGGCCATCTTGTTCGTGCGAACACAGGCAGCGGTGTTTGGTCATTGAGTGCATGGAACTAAAATCGGACACTCGACCTTTCGAACTCCGCTGAACTTCCATACTGTCTGCGTTTGGTACTTTACATCTTGGAAGAGTGCTGTTTGGTGGAATCGTTTGTCTGAATGAGGTGAACAAGCTCCACGTTATACTTAGGGATTATGTTTGGTATTTTGGTCGCAGGGAACTTTCGAACGGGACCAGCCACAACACCTGAATTCATGGAACTGTTTTGGGCATAGGACCATGTGTGGGGCAAGTCAGAGCTTTACCCCGGTGGTGATTCGGCTGTGTTCGTGAGATCGGAGCGCTTTTCGGATATGTTGGGCGCTAAGATTCAGGCTATCCGGGTATGTATAGACTGCGGGGGTTACTATGTGGGAAATATTTTGTATTTTATACTGAGTCACAGTGACACTGTATTTTATGGGACATTGTGGGTGTGTTTACGGGTGTGTTTGGGGACATATCACTATGCTCAGATTCTGTATATAAATGGGTGATTTGGCCGGAATCATGGATTACAAATAGAGGGACAGCGCTAGCATGTGTGCAGTGTCTCTGTCTGCAGAGAAACTCAGGAGGATGGAGCTAGCTAGGGCAGCGTCCCCATATGAGGAGGAGTTCCTCTGGAGACTGCAGTGCAACCTGGCCCAAACGGAAGGCCCTGTATCCAAAGAGAGCCTACAGGACTGGAGAGATGCCAACAGGAAAGAGCTTTGGCAAGAGGACCTGGAGGATGTGCACTGGTGGCAGAGAGAGAGTCTTCCAGGCGAAGGGCAACAACTTCAGGTACTAACAGGCCTTTGAGAAAGACATTCACTTTGGCAGATGGGCAGAATTTCAGCTCTGGGAAATCCACAGTACCAGGGAAGCCCTGCTGGATCTTCCTGGAGCTGACGACCTAGGGCCAGATCTGATCCATCTGGTGACCATGGAATAGGAGCTAGAGCAGGATTACCAACGTCTGCTCAGTTTGGTTTGGCCACCATATATCCTGCAGGGAGACAGGACACCTGGAGTGGAGGGTGCAGATGGGACCCTGGCCTCTGTACCGGGAGAGCAGGAAAACTGGGCGGCTGACCCAGACCTGCCACACTCTGGGTGGGAAGAACTGACTGCGGTAACCCCTGCTCCCCAACCAGCTCCAGAAACAGGAGACTTCATAGACTAGTCCTGGGAGGACATCCAGTTGGCCGGTGCAGATGGGACTGAAGTCTCTACACCAGCCCTACATGGATGCTAGGCAGCTGGCCCATATCCCCAACAGCAGCTAATCTCACTGGAAGGGAGGACAACCGGTCCCCCTTTCCGACCACCGGGAGGGAGGAAATACCGGTAGAGAAGACAGCTGGTCCCTTTTCCCAGCCTCAGTGGGAGCTCATGGGAGTTGGGACAACAAGTCCCACTCCCCAGCAATGGTGCATGTCTGCCGCAGACAGGACACCTGGAGCGGACTGTGCAGATGGGACCGAGGTCTCTGCACCAGACCTCCAGGGATGTTGGGCAGCCACCCCAGATCTTTGATTTCAGCTCATGAAAAATGGGGGCAAAAACAAGTGTTGCATTTATAATTTTGTTCAGTGTGTGTATATATAATAGTTACTATGACTATACAATTATTAAGCTTATTGTCACAGTTCTGTGCACTTTGGACACTGGATACTTTTATATTTGACAGTGTGAGATACCTTGTACCTTTTACCTTAGCATACTTGCACTACTTGGACCCTTGACCTGACCTAAAGCCTTTGAATTTGGCTCCATCTGGTGCTCATATCTAAGTATTACATCTTGTTTAAGGATAGTTACAGTCTGTATTGACACTTTTTCTTCTATTAATCGGTGGTTGATTATTTACTTTGTTTTGTCTTTTTATCCCCAGGTAGCAATACCTTATCATTGTAAATTCTATCAATTTTGTCATATACACGGTTAGGCCTTGGGACATTCCTGGTATGTCCTCCTGGTGCACGGTTTACATGAGTGGCATGTAACCGGTTATATTTCTTTTTTCCAGAATGATTTTGCCAAGGCATTTGATACAGTTCCACACAATAGATTAGTGTTCAAACTCAAGGAAATCGGTCTAGATGAAAATGCTTGTTCTTGGGTAGAACATTGGCTTAAAAATAGAGTACAAAGAGTTGTTGTTAATGGTAAATTTTCAAGCTGGGTCTGTTCTGGGACCCCTTCTATTTAACATGTTTAGAAATGATCTTGAAGAAAGCATTGAAAGTCATGTTTCAGTGTTTGCAGATGACACAAAACTCCATAAAATAATACAATGTGAGCAAGATATTACTTTGCTGCAGAGGGATTTAGATAGACTGGGGGACTGGGCACTCAAATGGCAGATGAAATTTAATGATGAAAAATGCACTTCGGCGTAAAGAATACACAAACAACGTATACCCTTAATGGAAGCGAATTAGGGATAACAACACACGAAAAGGACTTGGGAATTGTTATAGGCAACAAACTATGCAACAATGTGCAATGTCAATCAGCAGTGGCCAAGGCAAGTAAGGTATTGTCATGCATGAAAAAGGGCATTCATTCTTGAGACGGGATTATAATTGTGCCTCTTTATAAAATCACTGGTAAGAACACATATTGAATATGCTGTGCAATTTTGGGCACCTGTTCTAAAGAAGGATATTATGGCACTAGAAAAAGTGCAGAGGCGGGCTACAAAATTAATAAAAGGAATGGAACATATCAGCTATGAAGAAAGGTTAACAAATTTAAACCTATTTAGTTTAGAATCTCTTTTTAGCTATGTAACTATGTAACATCACTGACTGCATCTGAATGGATTGTTCCTTCCTGCTATGGTAGCACTGTCCGCTTTCCCGGCTCTGTTTGCAGTTTGAAGTAGCATGATGACTCTCCAGGAGGATGTGTTGGGGTCAAATCCAGCAGTAACAGCAGGAATAATGAAAATGATCTCCAAACTCCACTCCCTAATCACGGAAAAGAAGTATTAAACATAGGAATAAGCCAGCCAGAAGGAAGGAAGGAGGTTAGTTCCTGATAAATGTCAGGGCCCATTTCCCGGATAAAAAGCCACAGAACAGCCACAAGTACATCACGAAGATGGCTCCTAAAGATCAATTGCTAAAGGAATGTCTGAGATTACAACAGATAGAGGATGCAGAAAAGGGGGAAAGTTCCATGGCAATACTAAGCACTCCATGGGATATGTACCAATAGCAGATAGAGGATGTGGCTCACATTACAAAGTCCTACCAATGGTTGGAAAAAGCGGGATCGAAAGAGAGCATTGAGGGACTAACCCTAGCAGCACAGGAACAGATAATCCGTACCAGATAAGAGTAGCAGGGGTCCACCACACCACACAGACATCAAGGTGCAGATTGTGCAAAAAGGATTTAAGAGAAAATCCAGCACATAGTAACAGGGTGCAAGATGTTATCAGGGACAGCATAAACTGAGAGGTACAACCAATTTCCTGAGATTGGGTTTCGAAATATCTGCACAGAATACAGGCTGGATCTGCCTAAATCCATATAGGAGATGCCACCAAAGATAGTTGAGAATGACAGGGTTAACATCCTGTGGGGCTTCCAGATCCAGAAAGACAATCAAGTACTTGCCAACCAACATGACATCGTGAAGGTAAACAAGAAATGGAACACTGAAGGGGTAATGGATGTGGCAATGTTCATCGACCAGATCAAGAAAAAAAGTGCATGATAAGGTGGACAAATACTGTGACAATAGTCACCATCACTGGGAGCAGAAAGACACTTTACAAAAGGTTCCTACGTTGATCCTATGTCTAAGTTACCCATTTCCCATTATAGGTGCAGTGTGTTTATAATGTGTTTGTATATTGTTAATTGTTTTCTGTGCTCTCCTGTCCTAATGATGCTTGGTACCAACTAAGTGGATTTGGCTATGGAGCCTGTATAGTGATCTCAGTTGGTAGCAACAACTATATGCACTACCTGAATAGCAAAGCTTGCTAATTCACATATATAGGTAGATATGCATATTGCCAAGTCTGCAGGCAGGATAGATATTTTGTGTTGGTTATTGACTTCCCCACCACTTTGTAGATGTCATTGTGTTATTATATTTCCCAGTATGTTTTCTGATATGTTTTGATTATTTGTATTTTTATTAAATTGTCACCATAAAGTTACATTTAAGGAGCATTTGGGCCAGCCCCAAGAAAAAAGTTTTGTATGTTAGTTCCTTTTGGAATGGTGTCCTGTTTGGATTTTTACGGATCCCAGCCATATAGAGTAGCTGTACCTGTTGGCTGGCTGCACGATCTCTCTAGCCCTGAGATAAATCAAAAGAGCCAGGCCTAATAGCTGCAAATGCCTTTCTAAAGGCAATAGAAACTCACATTGCAGGCAGAGGTGGATAACTGGAAGAAGGGTTGCAACAGAATAGGCAGAGAGGAAGATACCTACCTGGAAGAATGACTGCAGTGGAACAGGCACAGGGAACAAAACCTGCCTGGAAGAAGGGCAGCAGGGGAATAGGCAGAGGGGACAATACCTGCCTGACAGGAGAGCTGCAGCCTGATCGGGTGGAAAAGTTCTAAAAGGACCCCAGTCAAGCGACGGCGACTGGGGCAGAAGCGCTTCAGGTTTCCTGGTTCCTGCTAGAAAGCGATCCTGGCAGAGGTACCCAGCTGGGGTACAGGGAGCTCCATCACAAATACCAAGGACTGATATGAGCTAGAAAGTTGGGAGCGCTTCTACAGCAAAAACCTCAGACCCCCAGGCCTCTGGTACAGATCTGAGAATGAGGAATACACAAAATACCACCCAGGGGGATGAGAAAGTCAATTTCTAATAGATATTTAAAATTCATTGAAAATCGAATGGCAAAATTTAAACAAGTATAGTTTGATTATTTTAGACTAAATTTTGCAATTCAATTCAAAACAATTTAGTATATAGTGAAGAACATGCACACACTTTCGATATATTCAGTTTACTTTCTGCATCCATAGTAAATGAGTTTGACATCCCTGGTGCAGAACACTGGTCCACAATAGCTGTAAAAACAAGAGATTAAAAACAGAAGAAATAAGTTTTTTTTTTTTTTATAACGTCCTTTGTCTTTAAAAGGGACACACCAGGGTTAAGTTCACTGCCATTTTCATTGCATCACATAATGAATTTAAAAAAACAAAACAAAAAGAATATATTCACTCACATATACATACTTGCATACAAATATGTTTGATGCTCTTGGTGCACAACATTGCAGCAACAGGAAGCAAAATACACTTAAGATATATATATATATATAAAATATATTTTACTTTTGAACATTATTCTACAGTGTTTTTAGAATTTAGCTGTCAGTAGGTGTATTTAGGAGCACTCAAAACACCACAACCATAATCAGCTGATCACTCTCATCCAATGTGCTAAGCCATGCATCGCTTTGCTTAGAAACAGAGAGATGGCTTCCAGCTCTCCTGTAGTCTATAGCGAAGGCAGGGATCAGGCCCCAGGTAAGAAGTCAAACTTTAAAGGACCACTCTAGGCACCCAGACCACTTCAGCTTAATGAAGTGGTCTGGGTGCCAGGTCCAGCTAGGGTTAACCCATTTTTTCATAAACATAGCAGTTTCAGAGAAGAACATGCACACACTTTCGATATATTCAGTTTACTTTCTGCATCCATAGTAAATGAGTTTGACATCCCTGGTGCAGAACACTGGTCCACAATAGCTGTAAAAACAAGAGATTAAAAACAGAAGAAATAAGTTTTTTTTTTTTTATAACGTCCTTTGTCTTTAAAAGGGACACACCAGGGTTAAGTTCACTGCCATAAACATAGCAGTTTCAGAGAAGAACATGCACACACTTTCGATATATTCAGTTTACTTTCTGCATCCATAGTAAATGAGTTTGACATCCCTGGTGCAGAACACTGGTCCACAATAGCTGTAAAAACAAGAGATTAAAAACAGAAGAAATAAGTTTTTTTTTTTTTTATAACGTCCTTTGTCTTTAAAAGGGACACACCAGGGTTAAGTTCACTGCCATTTTCATTGCATCACATAATGAATTTAAAAAAACAAAACAAAAAGAATATATTCACTCACATATACATACTTGCATACAAATATGTTTGATGCTCTTGGTGCACAACATTGCAGCAACAGGAAGCAAAATACACTTAAGATATATATATATATATAAAATATATTTTACTTTTGAACATTATTCTACAGTGTTTTTAGAATTTAGCTGTCAGTAGGTGTATTTAGGAGCACTCAAAACACCACAACCATAATCAGCTGATCACTCTCATCCAATGTGCTAAGCCATGCATCGCTTTGCTTAGAAACAGAGAGATGGCTTCCAGCTCTCCTGTAGTCTATAGCGAAGGCAGGGATCAGGCCCCAGGTAAGAAGTCAAACTTTAAAGGACCACTCTAGGCACCCAGACCACTTCAGCTTAATGAAGTGGTCTGGGTGCCAGGTCCAGCTAGGGTTAACCCATTTTTTCATAAACATAGCAGTTCCAGAGAAACTGCTATGTTTATGAATGGGTTAAGCCTTCCCCATTCCCTCTAGTGGCTGTCTCATTGACAGCCGCTAGAGGCGCTTGCGTGCTTCTCACTGTGATTTTCACAGTGAGAGCACGCCAGCGTCCATAGGAAAGCATTATGAATGCTTTCCTATGTGACCGGCTGAATGCGCGCGCAGCTCTTGCCGCGCGTGCGCATTCAGCCGACGGGGAGGAGAAGAGGAGGATAGCTCTCCGCCCAGCGCTGGAAAAAGGTAAGATTTAACACCTTTCCCCCTTCCAGAGCCGGGCTGGAGTGGGACCCTGAGGGTGGGGGCACCCTCAGGGCACTATAGTGCCAGGAAAACGAGCTACAACATTGTGCTGATGTTGTTATGGTGCTTGTAGAGTTTAATTTAAAAAAACAAAAAAACAACTGATTTTATTATGAAGTTTTTGATCTTTAAATTGTATCACTAGGCTGAGGTTCCCCCATATGTTTAAATGGAACAATTTCTACTCACAATTTTAATATTATACTTCCTTAATATCTATATTTAAATTTACACTATAGTCACCAGAACTGCTACAGCTTAATGTAATTGGTCTGGAGTCTACAGCCTGTCTCTGCAGGATGTAGCACTGTAAACACTGCCTTTTCAGAAAGCAAACATTATTGTGGTGTTTCAAATAACTACTTTTTTTAAGGTATTTGTTAAAGTTAGTAAATATTTTACACTTGCAAATTCCTAACTTGTCTTAGTGATTTAGGAATTTATTTATTTTTTAAAGCAAGAAACACTGTAGTACTTAGAACACTATGGTGTAATCTATAGAACTGTGTAATCTGCCGCTATTCCTTCCTCCTGTATGTGTACCTGTTGCTAAATAGTTCACGAACACATGCCTCACTGATAGTGAAGTATTACAGAATACAAAGTAATACAAAGTACCAAACATAAAATTAAAGAAATTGACAAAATCAGGTCTAGTCCCACCTAGTGTGTAAATATTTTCCAATTTAACAAAAGAAAAAAAGTGTCATTCTAACCTTCCTCTTCTCTGATCTGTGTACATGTCTTTCTTGCAGTCACTTTTTTCTGAGACTGGCATTTCCCATGCAAAATGCTCAGACTTTCTAGTGCAGTGCTGTGTTTTGTGAGAGTTCTCAGAAGAGAGATACTGTCTCCAGATACTGTCTCCAGAAGCTCAGTGTCTGCTTCTTCACAAACATCCCCTTCTATATGTGGATTATTATTTGCTAGAGTGGGAGATTGAGGAGTCTCTAGAACATCCTGTAATACAGAATCATTGCTGTTAAGTGGTGATTCTTGCTTTAAATATTTTGCTGATCCAGAGACATTCTCACATATTCCCATTTGGTTTTCAACCTGTTCTTTGTATGGAAGTAAAGAGCTGTCTTTTGACACGGTATCTATGATTTCTGTTGTTGGTTTCAAATTACTGGAAACAATAGTCATTTTTGTCTCAGACTCACAACAATTAGAAGAAGTAGGGAGGGAGTGTCTGATAGATTGAAAGGTCCCTTTAGTACTGCTATCTGACTCTTTGTTGGGGCTCTCAGTGATTATATTGATATCAGACATAAAAGACAAATTCATATCCACAGCCATGAGTGATAACATGTCTTGCTCATAGGCCTTGTTAACATTCCTCTCACCACAAACATCTTCAGATATTGGACACTTTTTATCTTTGTTGTCTGCAGTTTCTCCATCTTGGATAGTTAAATGCAACCTTGCACATACGTTTTTCTCACTATCCACCTTTTCAGAAGCATCACCAGGGAAAAGTCGTTCTGTTTCACCTTTGTGCATATCCATACGTCCCTCTGGAAAGTGAGAAGAACTTTGAGTGGAAAGTTTTTTCTCCTTTGAATCTTCATCAGAGCTTTCAAAATCAAAGCTGTCCATTAGGTTAAATGAGACCTCTGAGAACTCCTCATATTCAATTTTTTGCTGTAAATTCAATTTTTGATGTTCAGCCTTAGCTGGAGAACAAGATGTCTCAGCTTTATCTTTTGTAGTCCCTTCACTACTAGAGCAATCTTGAACATACGTTCGACAGTGAGACTGTTCATCATGAGAGGTTAATTCTGTATTTGGAATATTAGAATAGGTCATGTTGTTTGCCATTCCCTCTGCAGAGCTTTCATATTCACTCATAAATGTTTTAGCTTGAGAATATTTGAAACCTTGCTGTAAGTCTATGGTTGGCACAGGAAGTTTTTCTGTTTGCAGATGTCCAGATAGCTGAATATTATTTAATACACTTTGTTCTACTGGTCTGTCTGTTTTTAGTAAGCTGTATGGACCACCATTTGTGCCGGTTTGTAATGGGGTCTGTCCATTGTTTGAATCAACAATGTAATTCAGACTTAAGGAAAGGCTGTTGTCTGGGCTATCTGGTAGGTCAGGTAAATGCATACGCTTTTGAGTAGTCTCTACAGAGTTGGAGGACTGCGATTTGTCTAGGTAGATATCCCATTTACTTGTTACAGGTATAGGTTTCATTGATATTTCATAATTAAGAACCTCAGTGTTGCATTTAGCAGATTGTTGCGCATTAGGTCTAACAGATGTCTCTACACCGTTTTTCTCAGGCTGGAACCTTAAGAGCGATAATATCTGTGCTGTACTTCTTATATTTTGTGTAATAGTTTCTCCTTTGTTTGTGTCAGCAACTTTATCTCTAACTTTGTTTTGAAAGCTTGAGTAGCTGTTGGTCGGCAAAAAATTACCTGCTGGATTTTGTTTACTACTAGTTAAAGTCATTGTATTCAAAACATCACAAGGTGTTCCTATGTTGGTTTCTCCTGTTTTCCTGTAGTGAGCGGCAAAGAGAGGAGATGTAGTATACAACTGAGAAGGCAAATTGGAGCACTCTTGTACTAGAGTTTGGGTTGAAGGCTTTAATGAATGTTCCATTTCCAGAGATGCCTTCTTTTGAACTCCCCGTGGTCCCTGGAAGCCCTAGCGAAAGAAAAATGAGTGAGCTTACACTACATTACAACAAAATAAAAATATGAAATTATACAGAATTCTGGTGCAAACCAGAAAAACAGAGATATGTAATACAATATTTTGAACTTATATAAACAAACATTAAAGCAACACCAAGACTATTCTGCATGCTTTATTGATTAATATAAATGTATTCACGGAGACTGGCTCACTTTAATTCACAAAGATACTGAGATTAACTGGCAAATGCTTGTAACAATTGACATTTGAACCCTTAAGGACCAATGATAGGGACAATCTTTGCTACTATATCAACCTACTCCCTAAGGACCCTGTTGAAAATATGAAATTACCAATTATAGCAGGACTATAAATTGCTTCCAATTCTGAATAAGCAGGACATTTCTTGTTGGGAAAAAGTCTTTATGGATCAGGTTGATATGATGGCAAAGCGTAACATTTAATTATTAACAGGGTTAAATTATATATTTGCTATGAATGAAAGAAAAAATATACTTAATAGGACACTGTGAACACCAAAAACAACTTTAGATCATGGCCCTGCAATCTCTTGGCTCAATTTTGTGCCATTTAGCTCACTATGCGGGGAGGACAGAGAGTGCTCAGTTCAAGTTTTGCATTGTACATCCACATGCCACATGTAGAGAGTCCAGATCTGTGAGTGCCAGCTGCCCAATTAATAAATCTGAAAGGCTGGTCTATAGCTTTGTAAGCATCTTAGTTATAACCTGTCAAACCTGCAAATTACAGTTATAGGCCACTCCAAACACCCTAACACAACCATTTTACAACAGTTTGACTTCAAACTCGAGGTGCGCCGGGCACCCTGGAGTGGTTATAATGCTTGGAGTATTCCTTTAATGTAGGTTAGTTGCTGCACTATAAACCTTGTAATTACAAAGTTGGTATGGTATTCACCTACCCCTTGAAAGGCAATAATTTCCTTCTGTAACATTACAAAATATGGATACTTGGTATTAAGGCTTACTGCATAAATGTTTCTGAGCTCCAGTTACTTACATTATTCAAGGATTTAGTTTTGCCCCTCAATGTTCTTTTTGGAATTGGAAAACCTTTAAACAGAAAAATGTTATTGTTTTTGTTACTCACGTAGGCACACTTACAGAAAATTTTCTTTTCAAGCCCACGGGTGGACGAAGTCCAACAGGTTTTGGTGCATTTCTGTTTATGGGGGGAGCTTGCTTGACGTCGGAGATATTTTGAGGCACAATGCCACCAACGTCTTCTGCTTCAACCGTAATTAAATAACGATCACTCTCCAAGTCATCCCCAGAATTTAACTGGTGTGAAATACAAAACTATGTTTACTGAATAACCTTGGATTGGGGAAAACTAAATGAAACTTAAGTTTCTCATGTCAAGATTCCTAGATATAAACTAAAAAAAACCCCAGCAGAATTACAAATATACCTCTATTATTACAGGTAAAACAAACAAGTAAAGTTGCTAACACTGTTTGGGTTAGGGTGGCATCTCATTTAGAATGTTACCTTTTGCAAATTGTCCTGTCAGCACAAAATATGTCACACCTATGTTTACATTTATGCTTTTTTATGGTTTTGAACACTATTGTTTTTAAAAGAAAATGAGGGAACCGAGCACTTTAAGCAAAATTATGCAGACTTTAATTGGAATCAACATACAAAATGATGTTGTGGCTGCACGATGTGGCCTTTCTCAAATCTGTTGTTTTTAACTTGCATGGTCACATTTTTTTCAGATAGCCCATTTTTTTTTCTTATTATAAAATAAAAGTGCAGATTTCATTTTGTTACTCTTTTTGCCCATACACCAAAATAGACTGCAATAAAAGATCAATAAATTCTACATGATATTTACTGCACAGACCATTAAATACTAACACTCAAGAGACTTACTTTTAGCAGTATTAAAAGGGACACTACAGTCACCAGAACAACTACAGCTTATTGAATTTGTTCTGGTGTGTAGAATCATTACCTTCAGGCTTTTTGCTGTAAACACTGTCTTTTCAGAGAAAAATCAGTGTTTACATTACAGCCTAGTGATAACTTCACTGGCCACTCTTCAGGTGGCTGTTAGAGATCCTTCCTGGGTCATGGCTGCCTAAAATGCATCCAAACATTCAGTATCTCCTCCCTCTGTATGCAGACACTGAACTGTCCTCATAGAGATGCATTGATTCAATTCATCTCTATGAGGAGATGCTTATTGGCCAGGGCTGTGTTTGAATTGTGCTGGCTCTGCCCCTGATCTGCCTCTTTGTTAGTCTCAGCCAATCCTATGGGGAAGCATTGTGATTGCATCAGGCCACCACTTCTGATGATGTCAGAGGAAGTTCACAGGCAGAGGCAGCAGCTTCAGACTGGAATACAAGTAAGATTTTACTATCTTTAGGGAGGCAAAGGGGGCTAGATAGTGGTTTTAACACTATAGGGTCATGAATACATGTTTGTGTTCCTGACCATATAGTGCTCCTTTAACGGTGAACTGTTTCTCTGGTAAAGCTGTTTGGACAAAAAGTATTAGTAAAAAAAAAAAATTGTGGAAAAGGAATGACAGAAACATAGAATGTGACGGCAGATAAGAACAATTCCGCCCATATAGTCTGCCTAATTTTTTTAAAATTAGTTCCTGGCCTTATCTTATATCTAGGGTAGCCTTATGACAATCCCACACATGCTTAAACTCCTTCACTGTGTTGACCTCTACCATTTCAGCTGGAAGGCTATTCCATGCATCCACTTCCTTAAAGTAATACTTCCTGATATTATTGTTAAACCTTTGCCCCTCTAATTTAAGACTATGTCCTCTTGTTGTGGTAGTTTTTCCTTCTTTTAAATATAGTCTCCTCCTTTACGGTGTAGATTCCCTTTATGTATTTAAATGTTTTTTATCATATCCCCTCATCAGATTAGTATAAATATGATCAAAGGCATTTCGATCCAAGTAGCTGATTTTGGTGCAGATAAATTTGTGAAAAGTTGGACAGAAGGAAAAATTACAGGTAAGGTTGTACCATCTCTGGCAGCCTTCATAAGCTGTATCCTTAAGTATAAAGGTGAACTCCAACAATAACATCTTGTAAAGAAGAGTTAGGTAGTTGTTTTGGCCTTGGGAGTATGTGTGCTCTGCCTATTAGCAACTCCTTAAAGTCAGCCATTAGCAATAGAGGCTGGAAAAAAATCAGTGATATATGTGTATTAGTTATAGACTCAGGATCACCATTAGATTTATTATTGTTCAGTCTGGAACGGTCTTCATAATCAGCCATTTTAGATTCAAGAGTCAAGATACAATTCTTGACACCCTCATCATGTGCATCTGGCATGGTGTGCTTGCACAAATTCTTCCCTCTCAATTTATTATTTTTGGATAAAGTTTTAAAATGATTTAAAGGAACACAATAGTGCTAGGAATACAAATCTGTATTCCTAATGCTATAGTTTTAATGTCCTTAAATGTAAGTAGCACACCTGTGCAAAAATAAAATAAGGTTTTACTTACCTGTTTTTTCCAGCGCCAAGACTCCCTTAAGGCTGCTGACCTGTCCTCCCTGCTGACAACACACAGGAAGAGTTAACCCTGCAATGTAAACATTGCAGTTTGTCAAAAACTTCATTAAGATGAAGTGTTGTGGATAACTATAGTGCTCCTTTAACCCCTTCTCGACATTAGGATGTGCTATGCCTTGCAGCAAAAGGAGGGCTTTAATGAGTAAGAGCAGAAGTTAGGGCAGCATAGCACGCTCTATTGGGCCCTCTCTGCAGCATACTCACCCACCTGAACGGATCTGATCAGGGTAACTGTCTGCGAACTGTGGTAGTCCCCATGCAGCAAATCCCACCAGCCCGTGTTACACCTCCCCTGCATATGAGATCTATCTGGGTCCTGATACAATTGTTCCTGGTGTGGAGACAGCAATCTGGGACAAAGTTGATATTGGACAGCCCCTAAAGAATTCCAGGGGAGCCACTGAGAAACGCTATTTATTTATAAAATATGTTACCAGGAAAGATACATTGAGATTTCTCTTGTTTTCAAGTATGTCCTGGGTCCACAAAACATTGCATTGATACGATAGGGTACAATAAAATACAAAAACAATATTAATACAATATTTAACATAGAACAGGTAGGAAATATATAATCAACCATAACACGTGCATTCTGTTTTGAGGTATGTCGAGAGGGATCTCCTAAAGGACTTTAGGCTTGGGGAAGATTTGAAAGTGTACGGGAAGTCATTCCACAATTGCGGCGCTCTGTAGGAAAAGGAGGATCGGGCTGCTCTCTTTTTGTATTGAGGTAGACTAAATAAAGTGCTGGTACTGGATCGGAGGTTCTAGGAGGTGGGAACAGCTACACCAACATTCTATCTTGTGAGTGCATTTCCAACAGAGCAGTTTATATTTATTTTACAGGATTAAACTATATTTGTGTTTCTTTTGTAGATTTACAGCTGCATCCCCATATATTGTGTGTATTGGTTGTTTTGGAAGGGGACATTGTCTGGGATATACACTGGGGAAGCTGTATGTTATAAGGACAAACAGATACATTCCTTTAATTACACCAAGCACTTTAGGATTTGTATAGAATGATTAAATAAAATATTGGGCTACCTGGCAATCTTTGAGAAACACATTTTCTAGACGCTGCCCTTTGTCTGTGTAAAGTGTAGCCTGAATGGGGGGGAAAAAGAGGACACATTTAGTTCCAAAATTAGATGAAAAAAATAAATAAAATAAAAACACAGAAAGAAACAAACATAATTAAAAGAACACCTCAAGAATGATAACCACTAGAGTCCCTTGTAATGGCTATAGTGCCAATGGTACCCTGACACCATCCCATGGCAAGATGTCATACCTTTTAGTAAGGTTTGACACTTAACCTGGGTCCCGTTGAATATATATAGCTGCCATAGCCCTGCTTCAGGTATTCTCCTTTTAGAGAATCTATTTCGCTAGACAGAGCCATACATGACCATGCTCATTGGTTGAGAATGTCAGCTGAGCACTCACAGCGAATGAGCATGGTCCTGAATCTGCCTTGCTTTTTAATATACAGACATTCAGCTTCTCCAACAGGAGAAGACTGGAAGGGTCATGGGCACCTGGGGTACCCAGGTAACTTGTCAAACTGCACTAAAACAGTAAATATTTTGTAATTCTTTATTTCTGTTGTGGAATAAGACATTGTCAGAAGGTTGAGCAGAAGGTCATGTCAATCCGCAAGAACATTTTGTACGAGAAATAACCAATGTATGCATGTAAGACATATATTTATATATCAAATATGTAAAATATATAGAGCGAAATGCACTCATGTTCAGCAAGAGTACGCAAGAGTAATAATTAACCTTATCTGGCCAGTGTCAGTGATATTATCATGCATATTCTTAGGTGGGTGGAGAACTAGTATACGCAAGACCGAAGAATAACTATTGTATCTACTGGTGTGACATTCTTTTAAGGGGCACCCAAGAAAGCAGGGTGGAAGCCTAAATGTTGCCTTAGACACGTACCAGTGTTAAAAAATAGCAAAAGTAAGATTTAGTAAGTGAGGTGCAGCAGCGATTGGATGGAATACATATCAGCGATGCCTCTGGGGAACTATTCTGCTGTCTGTAAGCGAAAAGAAGGTTTAACCATTCTGTACATTTAGCTTATTGTGATGTGTTATAAGACGAGGAATATCTGTCCTAAACTATGTATCATAATTGGGCACTGCAGTTAGCTGCCCACTGCTCCAAACTCCAACTGCCCACAATACACAAAAAATTAGGAAAGATGGATATCAAAATATATATTTGTTATTATAAAATTAAATTAATTTTATATTTGATTATTGTACTTAAAGGGAAAAGTTTAAGAAGAGAAAGAGAGAAAGGAGTATGTGGAGAGAAATACTAAAGGGGGTATGGGAAAACATACTAAAGGGAAGATATAGAAAGATACTAAATGGCCAAGAGTGTAAGGAGTGTAGCTATGTGTCTCAGTTCAATTAAAGGATACTTTGCTCCATGTATAATGGGCCTACAGCTAGTGATGTCCCGAACGGTTCGCTGGCGAATAGTTCCCGGCGAACATCGCTTGTTCGCGTTCGCCACGGATGGGGAACATATGCGCTGTTCGGTCCGCCCCCTATTCGTCATCATTGAGTAAACTTTGACCCTGTACCTCACAGTCAGCAGACACATTCCAGCCAATCAGCAGCAGACCCTCCCTCCCAGACCCTCCCACCTCCTGGACAGCATCCATTTTACATTCATTGTGAAGCTGCATTCTTAGTGAGAGGAGTGACAGTGTAGCTGCTGCTGATTTGATAGGGAAATTGATAGCTAGGCTAGTGTATTCAGTGTTCACTACAGTCCTGAAAGACTCATCTGATCTCTCTGACCTCACTACCCCCACACCCTCAGCCTCACTACCCCCACACCACCCCCAGCCTCACTACCCCCCACACCACCCTCAGCCTCACCACCCCCAGCCTCACTACCCCCACACCCTCACTAGCCCCCACACCCTCAGCCTCACTACCCCCACCACCCCTCAGTATCACCACCCCCAAACCCTCAGCATCACCACCCACCACCAACCTCAGCCTCACTACCCCCACACCCTCAGCCTCACTACCCCCCACACCACCCTCAGCATCACCACCCTCAGCCTCACTACCCCCCACACCACCCCCAACCTCACCCTCAGCCTCATTACCCCCACACCACCCCAGCCTCACAACCCCTAACACCTAATTCTTAGCCTCACCACCCTCAGCTCACTACCCCCACACCCTCAGCTCCCACACCACCCTCAGCCTCATCCCCCACCACCCTCAGCCTCACTCCCCCCACCCTCAGCTCACCACCCCCACACCCTCAGCCTCACTACCCCCCCTCACACCCTCAGCATCATACCCTACCCCCTCAGCCTCACACTCCCTAGCCTCACTACCCCCACCCTCACCCCCCACCACCCTCAGCATCACCCCCTCACCACCCCCACCACCCTCAGCATCAACCCCCCTCACCATCACCCCCACTCACATTACCCCCTTCTCCATCTCACATTACCTGCCCTCCTCCTTCTCACATTTCCCCCCTCCTTCTCACATTACCCTCCTCCTCCTTCTCACATTACCTCCCCTCCTCCTTCTCACATTACCCCCTCCTCCTTCTCACATCACCCCCCTCACGCTCACATTACCATCACCTCCCTGTCACCATCACCCGCCTCTCACCATCACCCGCCTCTCCTTCTCACCATCACCCCCCCCCATACACACAACACACTTCAAGCAGCTACCCCATACACATAGGGTCTCAGACAAAAACGCAAACATGCTCACAGAGACATACATTCACACACAAGGATACTCTCTCTCAGACACACTCTCAGGCACATACACAGGTAAACTGAGCATCAATGTGTATATGTGACACTTTTTTGTTAGTGGGGCCTCATGTTTGAGTTTCGCCTAAGGCCTCATAAAGTCTAGAGCCGCCTCTGGGTGTCACAATAGCTTTTTTGACTGTAATATAATAGCAGTCAGTTTCCTTCACGAGTGTGCGTTTCAGGGCCTGCCCAGTGCCACCACTCACTCACTGGTGTCACAATAGCTTGCATTTAAAAAAAACAAAAACTTTTTGGACTGTAATATAAGAGCAGTCAGTTTCCTTCACGCGTGTGCATTTCAGGGCCTGCCAGGGCACAGTGTCACACCAGTGCAACTCATATCTGGTGTAACAGTAGTGTACATTTAAAAAAAAAAAAAAAATACAAATTTGACTGTAATAGATTGAATAGCAGTTAGTTGTCTGCCAGTGTGTGTCAGGCTCACAGCGTATTCTGTGCCCACTTGCCCAGTGCCACCACTCATATCCTGTGTCACAATAGCTTGCATTTAACAAAAATAAATAAATAAATAAAAAAAAACTTTCTTTGGACTGTAATATAATAGCAGTCAGTTTCCTTCACACGTGTGCGTTTCAGGGCCTGCCAGGGCACAGTGTCACACCAGTGCAACTCATATATGTTGTAACAGTAGTGTACATTTAAAAAATTGAATAGCAGTTAGTTGTCTGCAAGCGTGTGTGTCAGGCCTACAGCGTCTACTCTGCCAACTTCTGCCACTGCACAGTGCCACTCATATCTGTTGTCACAATAGCTTGCACGCATAGTACCACTAATCAAAAAAAAAAAATGACAGGCAGAGGCAGGCCACCCCGCAGGGGCCGTCGTGGTCGTGGTGCTGTGATTCGTTGCAATTCAACACTCCTAATGTTCGACCGCCTGCTCCAACAAGAAAAAGCCGTTAACGAGTATT